ATACAATTTATATCTGTAGATATATTTTTTATATATTTTATAGGGAGATATATAAATATGTAGAGATATATAGACAGAGAGAAAGACAAGTTGACAAATATAAAATATAGAGAAATACATAAGTATATAGAGATATCTAAATATAGAGAGATATATAAAATATATCTGTGTGTGTAAAAGATGTATAAATATATATCAGGCTATATTGTTTATATACATGTATAAAGATATCAGTAAATATATATAAACTTTTAACAGTCCAATATAATTTTTTTACTGTATGTACATGTACGTATGTCTATATCAGGGTTGTGACCCAAAAGTACAATTGGGAGATTTGGTCTAAACTGCAATAGAAATTGTTAAATATTAGGACAGCAGGAAAGACGCTGGCTGTGATATTCCTCCGTAAGCAGCTGTTTTTGCTGACGAGGCAGTCGTGCCCACAGAGGGAAGGAAAAACATTCCCGATGTGACAGAGGCGTGCTGGCTCGCGAGGGAACCCAAGGAGTGGTTACTTCTCTGAAAAAAGTGGTTTTATCTCTGCGGCTGGTCTGTGCTGACCCTTCCTGTGGTGGTCTAAAACTAGGTGGTGTTTGGCTTGATAAAGCTGGGTTAATTGGCTCTGAGGAAGAGGTATGGCTGTATCTGAAGGTTTAACTCAAGGATGAGTGTGCTTTTTGTGTTGCTCCCAAAACTAAAGGAAGGAGACCCTCGCTGTCTTGAACTAATGTGTCTCAAGGGCTTTTCTGAGGGAGACTCTGCCTTTTTGCTCTTTGGATCCCCAGTGAGATCTTCCATTCACCCAACAGGCACGTGGTGCAGGGTCACCCATCCCGTAGCTGAGTCACCCCACCAGTGCGCCCTGGAAATGCCTTTAAATGCAATTGTAGGTTCTCTATTATGGAAATATTCGTCTTTATAGAGAAGCTGTGGTGACTCACCTCTTAATCCAGCTCTCGTTCAGAGCAGTGACTGTGATGTAGGTATGTGGGTGAGCGTGCTGGTATCTCCCGTGGTCTCGCAGCCGTGCGATGGCTTTTGCTGTGCCTGAAGAGTGCAGGAAATTTTATGGTTAATGCGGTTAATTTTGGAATGTGTGTGCCTTGACTGGAGCAACCTATGGGTCCATCACCCTTTACTTGCCTAGCTGGTGTTGAGTGTGTTACAGGGGCTGCTTGTCTGCAGAGCTCCTTGCAGCCTGGACTCATGAAAGGTTTTAAATAAAAATATCTGCAAACAAAGACCAACCAAGAAAAAAGACCAACCAAAGAAAAGCAAAGCATGGCTGTTTGGTGATCGTAGAATCATAGAACAATTCTGATCATAGAATCATAGAACAGTTCAGGTTGGAAAAGACCCTTGGGATCATTGAGTCCAACCATTAACTCTACACTACAAGGTCACCCCTAAACCATATCACCCAACAGCACATCTAAGCGACACTGAATCACATCCAGGGATGGCAACTCAACCACCTCCCTAGGCAGTGTGTTCCGGGGGAATAGATGGGGGAGAAGCTTTGTTAAAGCTTGGGTCTGCAATGCTGGGAGGCTGCAGACTCCTGTGCCTTACCTGTAGCTCTTCTGCCCCACAGGCATTGACATCCTCAAGCTGGTGGCAGCCCAGGTGGGGAGCCAGTGGAAGGACATCTACCAGTTCCTGTGCAACGCCAGCGAGCGCGAGGTGGCAGCTTTCTCCAACGGCTACGCGGCCGACCACGAGCGCGCCTACGCCGCCTTGCAGCACTGGACCATCCGAGGGCCTGAGGCCAGCCTGGCACAGCTCATCAGCGCCCTCCGCCAGCACCGCCGCAACGATGTTGTGGAGAAGATTCGAGGTCTCATGGAGGACACCACACCGGTAATGACGGGCTGGGCTTTGCGCGCTTGTGTGATGTATTGGACATCTTGTCTGATGTGTTGGATGTCGTGTCTGGTCATGGCTAGCACATGGGTGCATGGGACCCAGCTGTCACCTTGATCTTAAGTGGTAGACAAGTAGCTGGACTCTTGTCTCCCCTCCAAATCTCCTGAGGGGCTTATATTAAAGCCTTACGTTGCTTTTGAGCCAAGCTGTCCCAGATTTCTGAGCAAATTTTGTCAAAGTCTTGACGAGCTCTTGAGTTCCATGTGTTGTGATGTGCTTGTGGCTTTGAAGATCACCAGGAGGACTTGGTACTTGAGCCCTTGTGTGGAGAAGGTGGAGGAAAAAGCATCCCTCTTTCAACTCACTCTGAAATGCTGTTACTCAATCCCTAGTGTTTTGTGAGAAGGGCTGAGCATCCTTGGGCCCTGAGTGGTGATGTTGTAGAGCAGCACTTCCAAGGCAGTGAATGGTGGCATGGGGCGGCCACATATGCTCTCCTTCCAGAGCTGTTGCCCTTCTGTGGCAACTCTGAACTTAAAATAAGGGAGAATAATTTGCTGCAGAATATCCTGCAGCAATCCTGTGGTTTGTTTTGGCCACCCCTGCCCTACCTGCCAGTGTACTTTAGGGTTTTGGGCCTGATAATTTGGTGGTCTTCTGGAAAGATTTTTGACAGTTTATAAATGAGGCTTCTTCTGAACATGGAAACCACTGGGACAACACATGGATGGAGGTGGGGGTGGTCAAGAGAAGGCTTATTTTGCACTAAACCCATTGGAAAAACATCTCCCATTGGCCTTAGCAGTGACGTAGACCCAAAGGGGAAAGGGTGGGTGCCTATGAATTCCACTTGGTGGGGGCCTGGCAAGGTGGACTTTTACATATAACAAAGACTGCGGAGCAGAGTGTTTGTCAGGACAGGGGATTCCCAAATCCCATTTCAACCATCCCAAACTTCTCCTTAAAAGAGGGACCACAGTCCCTTCATCGTGTTGTGTATCCCATGTGATTTTGTTTAGCATAACAAACATCTTGGTTGCTCATAACCGTAGTGCGAAATCACAGGTTTTGATGCATTGACAGGAGTCCTGGGCTTGTGTTTTTGAGTGACCCTGAGTCAGATGCATGCCAAGCATCACTCTATGTTTCCTGCCCGAATTTTATTTGCCAGCTGCCTGATCACTCCTATTCCCATTCAGTTGCTGTTTTCTTCCTTCCAGCTCCTGATAACTAAGCAGCGTGTAGCTTTCTCATTTCTTATCATGCTCCAAAATATATATTTTTTATATCAAAATGGAAAAAATGAAACAAGATAAAGCTATGGTTAGGAGAAGAAGAGGTAGAGAAAATTGTCATTTTGTACATGAGAATTAAGGTTTCTAGTATTGGCAGTTTCCCAGAAGGACATGTTCTTCACCTGGAGCAGGTTTTAACCTCTTTCCTCCTAGTTACTACTTTGACTTTGAATGCTAGGACATTAGATAAAATATGGGGCTTATTCATCAGCACTCCATGCTCCTGAGTATTGTGCTGTTTTGGCCAAGACTGTCAGGTGATGCTTCTCAAACAATGTGAAATGTGGGTAGTAACTGCAGGAACAGGGTTTCTTGGGTGACCTGTTAGGATGGTGGACTCCCAGCGACAGACTAACCATGGGCTGTTGGCTTGTGCATGCCTATAACTCTGAAAGTGCGGTGAGCAGATGCTCAGGAGAGTGAGCAAACCCAATCTCATTGATTAATTCTAAGCAAGTCTTCTGGACTTCCTGACCAGCTCTCCTGGAGGACATTTTGCTTTGTTATTTAAAACAGTGTGTTCTGTTCCCCAGCGTCCAGCAACTCCTGGAGCCTAGTGCTGCCCCTCTACTTTCACTTGTTTTCCTAGAAATTTATAAAATAGGGTCGCTGACCTATTGAGCAGGTGGCTCAGGTGGGCTCACATGAGAAATGGGGCTCGTTTCAGCAAAGAAGGTGTTTTCAGATAGTCACCCGGAGCTGGTACATCCTCCCCCATGCATGTGATTGGGCTTGTTTGGGTGATCACCCTTTATGGTCATTCCTCTCCCTGAACAGACTCTCACACTGTGGATGTGGGTGGTGATGGAGTGGCCCTAGGAGGGATGGAGAAAGCTGTGGGAAGTGCCTCCTGCAAGGGAGACCAAATCCTGGGAGCCTCTTGCCAGCAGCTGAGCCGCATCGCAGTGGCCCGGACCACAAGTGGCCAGAGGAGCTGATTGCTCAGTGCTGGGAGCAGGCGTTGAGGTTGTTTCATTTGGGTTGGGCTTTTTTCTGGTTTGGTTTCTTTTAATCTGCTGGTTGGAAAGCCTTTCCTTAGAGCTAATGCAAATTTGACTCTCGGTGATTTGTCTGCCCAAACACAGGTAAATCGTGGCAGTTTCTCTCCATACCAGACGGGTTTGATCCAAAAGATCTGTTGTTGACTGGCATGGCTGCTGTGTTGCACCTTTCCAACAACTTGCCCTGCAGAAGCAGCCTGGCAAAAAAACCCCAAACCAAATAAAAAATAATAAAAAGAGCTTTTTGTGCTGTGAAGGGAGTGAGGACTGTCATAAACAATGCAGATCATAAAATCTTAAAATGGCCTTTCAGTATCTTAAGGGGGCCTACAAGAAAGCTGGTGAGGGACTTTTTAGGATGTCAGGTAGTGGTAGAACTAGAGTGTCCCTCCTGAACCTCTTTACAGTTAAAACTCTTCACAGTTAAAACATAGTAGGACTAGAGGGAATGGATTAAAGCTAGAGATGGATCGGTTCAGATTGGATGTCAGGAAGAAGTTCTTCCCCATGAGGGTGGTGAGACCCTGGCACAGGTTGCCCAGAGAGGGGTGGAAGCCCCATCCCTGGAAGTCTTAAGGCCAGGCTAGATGGGGCTCTGGGCAGCCTGATCTAGTGGGGGATGTCCCTGCCCATGGCAGGGGGGTTGGAACTAGATGATCCTTAAGGTCCCTTCCAACCCTGACAATTCTATGATTCTATGATTTATTTTGGAAAAGACCTCAAAGATCACCTGAGTTCCAACCCCTCTGCCATCTCCCACTAGATCCGGCTGCCCGGAGCCCCATCCAGCCTGGCTTAGAACACTTCCAAGGATGGAGCATCCACAACTTTTCTGGGCAACCTGTTCCAGTGCCTCACCACCCTCATATGTCCTCACAGCAGCTCACAGCATCAAACCCTTGGAGTGACCCAACCCAGCAGCAACATTCAACATGTGCTGGTGTGTCCGAGATGGGACTGGGAGGGATGCGTGGGTGTGTCTGCTGTCTGCGATGCCTTTGCCTCTTGCCTGGCGTCCCTGGGTGAAAATGGGTGCTCACCTGCGGCCCCGTGTCATAGGAAAGCACCAACACTGCCAAATCACAGGTCAAAATTGTGTTATTGGGTGACATAACTTTCAGATGGCAAATTGGTACCTGAAACCCAGGCAGCTTCCCTTCCCACCCCACCTGCTGTTGCATCCTTCTCCCAACTCCTTTATTTCTAATGTCTGGCTTGTGAAGCTGCTCTCTCCTCTAGTGCCCTGTGCGCCTGGCGGCCTTTTGAGCTTTCAGCCTTTTAAGCTCTGAAATGCAAATATTTACAACCCCCAACAGGAATAAGCGAATTAATGGGAATCTCTGGAGCGTTATGTCCGTGGCAGGAACGTTTTCCCTCAGGTAGGGAACAGCTCCACTGAAGGCTTGACGGCTTTTTTAGCTGCAGGAGATTATGTTGGTTTTGCATTGCTCTGAATGAATTTAGGTTAAAACGAGATTAGCCCTCTGAATCGCTTTGCTAGGGTTGTTTTTGGGGTCTTTTTTTTTTTGCTGTTTTTCTTGTTTTTTTTTTTTTTTCTTCCAGCTGATCCAGAAAATACAGCAAAAATCTCTCCCCTTGCAGGCAGACTTGCTGGGCAGTAACGTGCGAGCCTGGGCACTGTTTAGTGAGCGCAGACACACCCCAAATTAATGATGCTGACAACAACAAAAATAGGGGATGGAGGAGGGGGGGAAAGGAAGAGGGTTTTAGCTGCTATCCGAGCAAATTGAAATTTCCTGGTTTGGGGGTTGAAACTGGAAGAGTTCAGTGCAGCGTAGGCACTGGCTAATGGGATTTTTTTGGGACGCATAGTGGCATTTTTTTTAAATCCTGAGGGGTGTCTGTGCTTGCCTGGGCTGGCCTGGGGCGTTGCTGGCACGTCTGGCCGTGTTGGCTACCGTAAGTGTCCTACCGTGAGCAATGCTTTAAGCTCTTGGGTTTTTATTTATGGCTCTGCTGGCCTCAGCTGAAGTATTTCAGGGAGTGGATGGAGGGGAAGCAAACAGCCTTGCTCAGGGAGTTTGGCATCGCAGCCTCAGCCAAGCTTAAAAAAAACCACAAGAGATTAGTAAGGGAAATGTTGAAAATGGGGAGAGGGAGGCTGCAGCCCCAAGCCCAACGAGATTTAGGTCTGTAGCTAATTGCATGCCACGGATTATCCTGTGAATCAGCAGATATGTCAGGGCTGGCTCTGGTGTGAGGTGAGGTTAAGCCAAGGGGGTTTTGGGGGGGGTGACAGAAGAGGATGTGAAAGCAGCCCCATGTCCAGGCACGCGGCTGTGTCAGCACCTTTTGGTTCCTTTTCTTCCTCTTTTGAGCATCAGAACCCTGCGGGGAGGGCTGTCAGGAGCCTGGAGCAGCATTCCCCAAATCCAACCGCCAACATCCCCTTCGTTTCCTTTTTTGGCAAAGCAGATCTGAGCTGGACTTAGTAATTAGCAATTAACTTAGTGCGCTCTTCATCGTGGGAGCAAGGGTGAAGCTGTCGGATGGATTTCCCAACCAGGAGTGTCTGCGGTCCAAGGACTGGGAAATTTTTTCCTTTTGGACTTGCATCAGGTTTTTATTTGAGGCACAAAGCTGTAGGATAAAGTGACGGGAGCCCTGGGGAAGGGGTAAGGCTGTTTGGGTTTTGCTGGAGTGTTTCCTCTGTGTTTGCCCTAAACCATGAGTTGATTTTTGGCAAACTAAAGTTGGTTTTGAACCAGGCTGGAGAATGTGCAATAAACAAAAAAATTAATAACTTAGAAAGGAATGTAAATAATATAAACACAAAAATGTAAATTTTACAGTAGCTGTGGTTATATTTGAGATTTCCCTGCTGTGGTAACCATTTTTCCTTGGGTGTGTGTATTTGCACTGTAACGTGCTTGGGAGAGCATAAGATAAAGCTAGAAGATGATGGAGTCATAACAAGCCATAAGGAAATACTTTTTTCTGTGAGGATAGGAGAACACTGGAACAGGCTGAATCAGAGGTCATGGAGTCTCCATCTCTGGAGACTTTCAAAACCCACCTGGACGCGTTCTTGTGTGACCTATTCTAGGTGATCCTGCTCTGGCAGGGGGGCTGGACTAGATGATCTTCATAGGTCCCCTCCAAACTCTAACGTTCTGTGACTCTGCAAACTTGCTACTGACTTAATAAGCCTGTAAATGAGTTTGAAAACTCTTCATCAGCTCCTCATCGTGGTTTGAGAAGTGGGTGGACAAATCCACAGAAAGGAGAAGTCACCATCTCCTGCTTGAAGAAGCACGTGGCCCACAAACGTCCAGGGCTGGTGGGGAGGAGCTGCTTCCTCTGTGGATGTCTGCATTTGGGTCTTGGCAAATAATCCCTTCCCAGAGTGGTCATTGCCGGTCCTGAGTTGCTTGAAGATTGACTTGAGAAGCTCTTGTGTTTGCTGGATGCAAGCTCCACCACAGAGATGGTGTTGAATGCAGTCTTCTGAAACCTGGCCAGTGAGGTGAAGGACTCTGAGAGGACAGCTGAGCTTTCCCACCCAAGGGTGCCGAGCACCCTCATGCCCATCCCATCCTGGTGGAGAGCTTGCCTCTTGATCTGCAGCAGCTGCGCAGCATCGCTGCATCTCTCTGCAACCGTGGTGAGACCTCATGGCCTGGCCACCAGTGTTGCACCTTCCAAAAGTCTAGTCTGCCTTGAAGGTGGGTCCTCAAACACTACATTGCACCATGAAGTTGCCCATCCAAGCAAATCCTCCATATGCCTGTGGGAGGAACATTGTGAGAGCATCCCTCCCCAACACCTCTGCATCTGCTGCTGCCCAGCCCACCCTGCTTCATGTGCCGGGATTTCTCCTCCTGCATCCCCTACAGAGGTGTAACAGTCCTGGGAATAGGACTGGTGTGAGCTGGGTGTCGTCATTTGCAAGGAATGCAGTGCACTCATGCAGCCCAGAAGGCCAACCCTGTCCTGGGATGCATCAAGAGGAGTGTGGCCAGCAGGTCAAGAGAGGGGATTCTTCCCCTTTACTCTGCTCTTGTGAGACCCCACCTCGAATACTGTGTCCAGTTCTGGTGTCCCCACCATAAGAGAGACATAGATCTGTTGGAGCGTGTTCAGAGGAGGCCACAAAGATGATCCAGGGGCTGGAGCACCTCTGCTATGAGGACAGGCTGCGGGAGCTGGGATTGTTCAGTCTGGAAAAGAGAAGACTTCGGGGGGACCTAATAGCTGCCTTCCAATACCTGAAGGGAACCTACAGGAAGGCTGGGGAGGGACTTTTTACAAGAGTGTCCACTGATAGGACAAGGGGAAATGGGTTTAAGTTGAAGGAGAATAGATTTAGATTGGACCTTAGGAAGAAATTCTTCAGTATGAGGGCAGCAAGACTTTGGAATAAATTGCCCAGAGATGTTGTGATTGCCCCCTCCCTGGAGGTGTTCAAGGTCAAGTTGGATGGAGCCTTTAGTATCATGATCTAGTTGAGAGGTGTCCCTGCTCATGACAGGGACGTTGGACTAGATGATCTCTAAGGTCCCTTCCAGCCTAGGCCATTCTATGATTCTGTGAATCTGGGAAGTGGCTGTCTTGACCCTAAATTTATCCCCCCACATCGCAGGAGGGCGCACAGCCCACCTTCTGGAGCAGCAAACCTGCCACCAACTTTTCTTACCTCCTGGTTGCTACAGGAATTGCAGGGAAGTAACTGCAAGGGAGGGCGTTTGGGTTTTTTTATTCTCTCCTTTATGATGCCTACAACTGCTTCTTACTAACATTAGCACAGCAGCTGCAGTTTCTGTTTGTCTAAGTTGAGATTTTATTGTGGTACAGTAAAATGAAGGCAGAAAATGTGACCAACCAGTTCAAACAGAGCTGTTGGGAGCAGCTGTGGAAGGAAAACAGTGCCAAACCTATGTGTTCTTCTGCACCCATCCCCTTCTGTCCCCTTTTAGGAAAAACCTTCAGACACCCTGAGCTGCTTAGAGCATCCTGCTGGACATACTGGGATCCAAGAGGATATCGGTGCTTGAGCCGCGTCCTGAAGGACTGCGACTACACAGGAGCTTTTAGGAATATTTTTTTTTTCTTTGGGTGTTTCAAACCTCTTGCTGCAGTGCTCAAAAAAAAAAAAAAAAAAATTGGCAGAGGGCCCCGGCACCCGGCACAACTGACCGGTCGTGGGAGGCTGCTGGTGCGTCAAAGCCGCCGCGGCGCCTTCGGTTTTCACGCTGGACCGTGCATCTAACAAATCTCTCGTGTCTGTGTGTGCAGGTGCAAATGCAGCCTCAGTGGCAAGCGCAGGACCCCTGCAATGAAGACGGAAAGGTGAGAAATGCGATGGCTCTGGAAAGACAAAAGGGCTGCAGAGGGGTTGTTAGGTGGTTTGGGGTTTAGTTGTGGGGTTTTTTTGGTTTATTTTTTCCCCAGCCAGAGCTCAGTTACACTCAAGCACTGCCATTCTTAAAAATAGGAATGGCCAAGGTGGTTTCAAGCAAATGAGTCATGGGCTACGAATGGTGTATTTTTACACCTATTCCACAGGCTTCACCTCGCAGCAACCTTTTGCTTTCCCCGGCCTTTCAAAGCCCTCATTCCCACTCGCTTTCTTCCCGCGGTTTAAATATTAACACGCATCTGAGCATCCTGTTTGCTTTGCCTCAAGCTCGCAACTGTTCAGCTATTTTGGAAAGCTTTGGGCTCCCAGGACGCCAACAGTCAAATAACCTTGGCTGATTTTTTTTTTCCTGGTGTGTTTTAGCAGCTGTTTAATTAAACTTGAAATGACTTGCTTCTGGGAAGGGTTTTTCCCCTCTGCTGGGAAGGCAGAGCTGGGGCAGCTGTCTGCTCCCTGCCCTCCTTGTAATTGCTCTTTGGCTGTCGGGCACCTTTTTGGAAATCAGGAGCTTGGTTTGTGGCTGGATATTAAATAGATGAGTTGCACGAGTGAAAACTAACCCCTAAAGCCTGTTTTTTGGTGTGGTGGGGGTTTGTTTTTTTTTTTTTCTTTTTTAAAGGGGAAATTGGAGTGTATTGCAGACTAGAAAGCGTCCAGCTGCTGTTCTGGTCCTTCCCTTGCTTTTTCCTGGTAGGCAGTAGGCTGATTCTTATCGCTGAGCTGCATTGGAAAGGGAGTTTCAGAAGAGAAGGCAGTTTCTTTTAATCAAAAATTAAATCTGACTTTTATTTTTAACATGCCTATTGCATAATGTGCTGAGTTAGAACAAATCCTCCGCTGTTTTATTTTCAATGGGGAAGGGTAAAAAAAAAAACCCACCCTTTTATTCTACCAGGAACAGGCTTCAATGTTAATTTAATGTGAACTAATGGGCGTCTCAGCAGACATGTGATTTGTGGGTGGCGAATTCCTCGACACAGATGAGGAATGTGCAGGCACATCCATGCCGGTGCGGAGGTGGCTCAGCATCTCCCTTTCCCACAGCCTTTAATCCGTGTTTTGCATTTTATTCCCTGGGTAGTAGGCCAAAAGCATGTTAGCAGGAATAGCCTGGTCTTCTCACCACAGAAGCAGAAAACAGGATTGCAAAATGATTTTGGGAAAGTGGATTGCGTGTGGACATGGCTTGCAATTCTGCTCTAGGGCAGGTCAAGCAGGGATGCGGGATTTGGGAAGAATGTTAGATGGTCCTTAAAGCAACCTGCTTGGCAGGACCTGCTGACCTGCAGAGGGTCCCAAGCTGCCAGCCAGGGATGCAGGGATGCTGCCCCAAGCCTCTCATTCCTGCAGGGAATGGGAACCAGAAATGCTTTGCTGGAGTTCTGCACCCCGAGGGCATGGTTAGCGATGGAGGAGGGTGGATAATGTTGACTGCTGCAAGTAGGAAGGAGGTGCAAGAAGGAAGATGGAGAGCACGCTCAAATTAGGAAGTGAGTTCGTGCTGGCGCCCAAATGCTGCTGCTTCCCAGCACGGTGTGTCCCAGCAGCACTTGTTGCTCCCAGTGTCTTCAGGACCACAGAGCCCAACGCTTGCCCTTGGCTCACATCAAGGTGGCAAAAAGCAAAGGCACTTGGGTGACGTTGTGGTCAACGCTGGCCCCTGCTTGTCCTTGCTCCCTGGCCCTGAACTTGGAGTCTGATGGATTTCTTCATCGCGCTTTAGTGGGGTGCTCATGGGAGCAAGGATGAGACACGGGGCAAACAGATGATTAACTTGGATCGTTAGCGGTGTAGCTGGTCACAGGAGCGCCCTGCAGTGAAAACCCCTGAGGAGTTCCACAGTTTTTAGCAAATGATAGCTGTGCAGCAGGTTTTTTCAGGGAGCTTGCCTACTTGGACATCATCACCCGTTGCTGCCAAGAGTTGTGCTTTGGGCTTTATTAAACTGAGAGTGAGAAGGAAAACCCAAGTTTGAAGGCAGTGCTGCTGTTGTCGCTACCAGGAGCATGGGTTGCATTACGCCTCCTGCCTGTTGAGCACTGACGTGCCAAATACCACCGCTGATGTCCACCAAATACCACTGCTGATGTCACCTCCAGTGCTCATTCTGGGTCCCCTGGGAGAAGGAGGCCACCCGAACATGGGGACCTCTCACCGAGGATGGGCATGGTGAAAGCCGGGATGCAGAGCCCATTGCCTAGCATCCCCCCAAGTTAATTTTTCTTCTCTTTGTTCCCCCTGCAAAGGTGGAAGGTGACAGACTGGCGCTGCCGATGAGCCCCAGCCCACTCAGCCCCACGCCCAGCCCCAAGCCCCCCGAGGCGGCCGTCCTCACCGTGGAGCCCTCGCCTTCGGAGAAGAAATGCTTCTTTGTCGACGAAGCGGAGCCCCTCCTGCGGTGCGACTCGGCCTCCAGCGGCTCCTCCGCGCTCAGCCGGACAGGCTCTTTTATTACCAAAGGTACCAAAATCATCCCTGGGGGTGGAGGGGGAAGCGGGAGGACCGAAGGGATGCCACAGGTTTGGGAGGGGAAAACACCTTTAGAGGCTTTTAACTCCGTGAAGTGCTGCCAGAGAAGTTGCAGCATCCCTCGGTGTTTGGGAGGGAGTCTCCTGACTTTTGGTTGTCATGTTGGCCTGCACATCATTACATGAGGTAAAATGAGAAAATTATCATTTCAACACTATAATTTTTTTCATTTTTTTTTCTCTTGGTCCTGCTTGCTGTGATGGGCAACCTGAGATGTAAATCACCATTAGCCACAACCCGCCTCCCCCTTTTTTTTGAGACGGTTTAGTTTACTGCATTTAACTTTCTGCATTTAATCTTCAACTCCTGATGAAGGTGAAACACTGAACTCAGTCAATCTCCTGAATTTATACTTGGGTGTGGAAAAGAAGCTGACCCAAGAAAAACAACTTGAAAGAGCAGAATTCAGCTTTTCTGGCTCCCCTCCTGCCTTCACTTTTCCATATTGACCATTCAGCATTTATAAATGCTGTGTTTGCTCTAGCGGGATCCTGGATTAGGTGCCTCAGCAGTGCTGACTTCTCCATCTTCTCCCATTCCGCCCACTCACCACCCTCCACCTTTTCCCTCGATTCTCCCGGTGGTGTGTCCCTCTCCAGAGATGGCACCAGGGGATGGACCGAGGTCTCCAAGGAGAACAAGCTCTGGTTAAGAGGGGTTTCTCGAGGGCTTTCCTGACCTCCCTTCTCCTTTCCTCCTCCAGAAAAGAAGGACACCGTCCTGCGCCAGGTGCGCTTGGACCCTTGCGACCTGCAGCCCATCTTCGACGACATGCTGCACATCCTCAACCCCGAGGAGCTCCATGTGATAGAGGAGATCCCGCAGGCCGAAGACAAGCTGGACAGGCTATTTGAGATTGCTGGAGTCAAGAGCCAGGAAGCCAGCCAGACCCTCCTGGACTCTGTCTATAGCCACCTTCCCGACTTACTGTAGGCACTGGGTCACCATGCGCTCTCCGAATATCTGCTAGAGCTAGCTTGGCACTCGTTAAGACAACTGGCAATATGCAGGCAGGTTTTGTTGTAGAATACATGGCCAGTATTTTTGTTGAGGTGTCCTTGGTTTCTGGAGGGGGGGGGCAGTTTGCCAGCATTGCACACCTCCACCTTAACTCTATCGCTCAGTCCAAGTCTTTGCACCCTCTGCCCCTTTCCCGAGCATCTCTCCTCCTTGTTCTCATTCCAATCAGATCAGCCAGTGCACTTTAAAAGAAAAAAATGCAGTTAATGAACTAAAAGACCACAAATCTGGTGTAATGTAACACATCAAATCGGGGATTGCTCTGTAACCCACTTTTGTCAAAGCCGTTGCTCGGAGTGACCTTCTCCCACCACCTCCCTTTGCCTTGGAGTGGCAAATGGCAAAAACACGCAACAAAAAAACCAAACCAATCGTTGCTGTTTACTATCTCTTAACACATCTAAGCTTCCCACCTGAGCTGACTTCTTTTTTTATAATGTACTATCGTGTAGCTCATATCCATTGCTGAGATTTTACTAGCACGGTTATTTATTGTATGGTTTTCACCTGGACACCGCATCGCGCTCCTATAAGCTAAAGCAGAAGCGCTTTAAACCGCAAACAAAAGGGTCAATCCCACCAACAACCTTCGAGGCGATGAAAGGGTCCTTTGCCTTCAGTTGAATGTAAGGAGTTCTCTTGCCTTGCTGCTTGTGCGAACAGCGGGGCCCTGAAGGGAAGCCGGTGCTGGACATGGGAGGCGAAGGCGGCCGCCGGTGTTCCTGCTCTCCTCGTGCTGTAAGACTTAAACCAAGCTATGCTTTTACACTTGTGTCTCTCTCTTTTTTTTTTTTTTTAAATACGGACATGGCCGGTAGGTTCTCTGAAGACCTTTGCCCGGTCTTAATAGTCTCTTCCAATCACACTTCACTTTTTATCAAGAAAAAAAGAGGTTGGGGGGTGGGGGAAAAAAAGCCGCATCGTAAGAAGTCTGATTATGTTTGCAATTATTACGCTCCCGTAATGAACAGTCTGTACTACGCTCAATTTGAAGAAGTCATGACATGAGGGTGGCATGTGCCACGCCGTGGGAAGGGGTGGGAGTGGGGGAAGAGGGGAAAGAATTGAAAAATTGCCTTCCAGTGTACTAATTTATTAATAAATACTAGGTGTTTGTTACTTGACATGATTCTGCGTTAACCTCCTTAACGTGTGTCTCTCCTCGAGGATGCATGGGTTGGAGCAGGGGCTGCTCAGAGCACCCACGGGAGAGTCAAGAGGGAGATTTTGGAGTTTGAGGTGCTGAGGGAGTTTTCTCCTTTAGCTTTGAAGCCAAAATGCGTTGACAACACTGCCTCTAGTCCCCACAGTCACTGCTGGAGCTCTCTGCAGTTGGGGGCGATGCTTCCCGGTGAGCTACATCCCTGCACTGAGCCAGGGTGTTAATCCCCGTAGTGGTGAACAGGTCTGATGACTGATGGGACTTCCAGGGTTGGTTTTTGCAAGCTCTCGAAGACTTTGCAGGCATTTTTTGGGGGGCTGAGGTATTTGTTTTCCAGGATGCAGCTGCTGTGCTGAGTCACTCCTGAGCCAAGGTCTTGCAGTCACAGCATTTCTCTTACCCTGTTAACGTTACAGACTTCCTTAAAATCTCTGCCTCCAAGTAACACATCCCTTGTTATTCTGTCTGCAAATGGAAACCTAAATGGGAGAAACTTCTGGTTTAGGTACTGTCATTTTGTATACTTAGATCCAGAGTTTCTTCTGCCAGCTAGGTTGCTGTGTCTTCCTTCTGGCTGATACTGAAAATTGCTGTTACAGGGCTACACACAGGTACAGGATGAAAACTTTTCGACACTGGGACAGATGAAATACAGCACAAAATGACAAGAGCTCTTGTTGAGAGTGCTGGGATGGGATTTTTACCTCACTAGCCATGAAGCTTGGAGCTCTTGGAGGCTGCACCATGTCTTCAAAGCATCACGAACAAGTAGTGCGTGGGGCTCATGCGCCTGGGAGACACCAGGTTACTAAAAGTAGTATTTTGAGGTGGACCCCGGTACCACCCTGTTGGCAAATCTTTGAAGTTTTGTAATCTCTGTGTTGACAGTGGTGGTGATTGCTCTCAATCCTCCTGGGCAAGAACTGACAAGGGGAGGGAAGGCATGCCATCATGGGCTTAATCAATAGCTTAAGGCAAGCACAGACTGATGGTTTTAAATTAGTCTTAGCAAGCTCTTAGGAGTGAAGTCCAGCTGGGAAATTGGGGATTTGTCGTCTTCTGGTGGTGAGCACTAGAACCATTATGCCACTCTCCCCAGGCACTGCCGGCCCCATCCCACAGCTCTGCTTCTCGTCCCAGCAGCTGCGCAAGTTTTCTGAAGGACTTTGAAGAAAAAAATAAAATACTGGAAAGAGAATTTAGTAGCCAGCTGAAGAAATACCATAAAGCAGGTATGTTGTGGAAATGCCTTCCTCAGGAGATGCTAAGGAGGCATGAGGAAGCTGTAAAAGCTGGGCTGTTGGGATGTGTTTAACTCATGTTGGTAGCAGGTCATGGGACAGGCCCAGATTTGGGCAGTCTTTGGCTCCATCTGTGCTGTGCACACTTCGAGCATCGCCCCCTCCTTTGCTTGTACCTGGATATTGGTCCTGACCCTGGCTGCATCGTTTCTTACCTCCAAGCTGTATGCATAGGCATGTGTGTGCAATATATTTTATATATTTAATATATACAAATACAATCTATATTAACATACACTACATGAATGTTTTTCTATATTATATGTTCTTTGTGTATTTATGTATTTTGAAGTTATGTATTTTATATATATGATGTATACATATATAAATATTTTATGTATCTGGGGGTGTGCAGGGGAAATGTCTGAGAGCAGCTGAACCGTGCATAGGGGCAGAGTATTTCCTGGCAGTGTGGGAGGTGTGAGGAGCCACAAGCCCTGCACCCCCACCCTTCCTTGGAGCCATCTTTCTTGGCCTTAAGAAAATAACCCAGGCAGGGAGGATTGATGGGTTCCTTACCTGGAGGCATAACTGCCCAGGGAGGGGAGCAGGGGGGGACTTTCCTTGTCCTCATACCCGGGCAATGCACAAACCTTGCAGGCCCCAACAGCGGCTGTGGTGTGCAGCTCAAAATGCCTGAGATTTTCAACCAAATGAGCTCAGCGAGGCAAAGCTGTGAATATAAAGGCTTTAATAAATGTGTGCAGTTCGCATAAAAATGCACTTTGTATTTACGCAAAGCGCACATTAATGTACTCAAGTAGGCAAGAGGTGGGGGTAGAAATGCACAGCTTTGCTTTGCCCTGCGCCCTTGCCTCCTTGCGTGCTGTCCTCCACCCAGGGACAGCCAGGAGGAGGGGAAGGTTTGATCCCCAGAGGGGACAAGAATGGAAGATGAGCATGCAGCCGTGCTCCCCTCCTCTGCCTGCTCTGGGCCTGTTTCATCAAGGCAGAGACTGGAATTTCTCAATGTAGGTCACACAAGACATCAGCTGCTCCAGCCCTGCTTGCTGTGGGGTTGAGAATAAGATGTGCAAATCGCATCTCCCCCAAAGGCCAGTGTTTGCTGGGACAAAACCCTCCAGAGACGCCTCTGGCATGTCCTGGCATCCTCAGGACTGGATGGCTCTGTTGTTCCAGAGTCTTTTAAACCCCTTAGTGCAAAAGAAGTTGTTGATTTTTTTTTCTATTTTTTTAATTATTTTTTTTCTCTGTGAATTGCAGGTGCTCTCTGCAGAAGAAAAAGGCATCTGGTATATTCCTCCTACCCCAGCCTAATTGGAGTTTATCCTAACGGGCAATTAATTGCAACCCTCAGGGCATGGCTGCTCCCACCCCAGTTGGAAAAGCACCCTGGGGGCTTCCGTGAGGTTATTGAGCCTTCAGGCTCCTTTTTCTAATTGTGGGTGAATTGCAACACAGTCTCTGTGTAGGAGGAATCGTCTGTGCAGCCTTTGTGTGAAGAACCTGCAGGGAGGTGGGTGGTGATGCCAACCATGGATGCCCAGTGGGGGCTTAGATTTGCAGGGTTGTTTGGGGTTATTTGGGGGTGTTCCGTGCTGGTCCCCAGGGCTGCAGGAGACTGCTCATGGCAAAATCATTCTCCAGGGTCTCCTGGTTGTGAGTGTTGTGCCACAAAGGCTTTGCAGATGGGTTTTCTTCTCCTGTGAGCACCACAATGGAGAATTTTCCAGGGCAACTGGTAGGAAGTGGAAAGATGGAGGAGAAATAAGAGGAGCCATCACTTATATGTTTGTTGCAGACATGCCTAGTCGTGGCACTCCCGGAGGTGTTTATCAAACCAGCCTTAAGAACGGGGCTACTTCTTCTGTATGAGCATTTACGAGGTTTACAGTTTTCTTCCTACTGCTGTAATTTAGTTTTCCCTTCCAGCTTCCCTTCCTATCTCTAGAATTTTCTTAACCAACATAATCCAGAAAAAGAGCCATCTTTCTTGGCCTTAAGAAAATAACCCAGGCAGGGAGGATTGATGGGTTCCTTACTTGGAGGCATAACTGCCATAAGCATCCAATTAAAATTGGATCAGCTGCTGATGAAGATGCTGGCCAGCAGCTCGGGCAGAGACTTTTCAGGGTTTCCTAAACTTACACCAACCTTTCTGCAGGTTTAGGTGCTGTTACAGCCAGGCTGGGTTCTCAGGTTCTCGTCTCTGTTCTTTCGGTGCCTTGGTTGCTCTTGGAGTATCTGGCTTTGAAGTCACTTAAGTGATGTTGGATCCACGGACCTGCAAGGGCAGAAGATTGCCAGAGGCAAACAAGAGGATGCCTAGCCTGGACATTATGGAGTCATTCGCCTTGGGCTAAGGAGGACTTAAATCTCCCCCATTCTCCCCTGTGGTCTAACAACCTTCTTTTTATACAAAAACATGGTTAGGAGCCCTGCTCGGCTGAGCTCCACCACAGGACCTGCTGCTCAGATTTGCTGTGGCTTTGTGATTAACCTGCAATGATCTAATTCAAAAGCAGAAGCTACTCATTTCCCTGTTATTTTTTGGGAGGAGTCTTAACATGGGGAATAAGCTGCCCTGCACAGGTAGGAGCTACTTGGTTGGTGGCAGCAGGTCCTGTGGTGGAGCTTAGCCAAGCAGGGCTCCTAACCATGTTTTTGTATAAAAAGAAGGTTGTTAGACCACAGGGGAGAATGGGGGAGATTTAAGTCCTCCTTAGCCCAAGGCGAGTGACTCCATAATGTCCAGGCTAGGCATCC